CTGAGGAAGAAGTTCACATAAGATATATTTTTTTCCAATTTTTTTAGTGATGAAATACACATAACATAAAATTTACCATCTTAACCATTTTTAAGTGTCCAGTTCAGTCGTATAAAAGACATTCATAATGTTTAACTATCACCACCATTTATCTTCCTAACTCTTTTCATCTTGTGAAACTGAAATTCTGTACTCATTAAACAATAATTCCCCATTTTCCCCTCTCCCCAGCTCCTGGAACCCACCATTTTACTTTCTGTTTCGAAGAAATTGACTCCTCTAAGTACCTCATATAAATAGAACCTTACAGTAGTTGTCTTTTTGTGACAGGCTTATTTCACTTTGCATAACATCCTCAAGGGTCATCCATATGGTAGCACGTGTCAGAATTCCCTTCCTTTTTAAAGCCAAATAATATTCCATTGTATGTAAATGCCACATTTTGCTTATCCCCTCATACACCCTTGGACACTTTGGTTGCTTCCACGTTTCTGCTCTTGTGAATAATGTTGCTAATGAGCATAGGTGTACAAATATCTCTTCCAGACCTTGCTTCCACATCAGATTTTCTGATATTGATCCAAAGCATGTTTGTCCGAAGGATGGATGCTGATCTGAGAAGAACTTTTGACCCCTTGAGCCCCCAGGACCAGCTGGAGAATAGATGTATTACAGAACATGCTCATTCTGTCCCTATAGCTGTTTCCTTTTGTTGTAAAACAACACTCAGATATGTGACTAAATATAAGACTCATACTATACAAGCGCACAGAACGTAGGAACAGGTGGTAGAAAGATAGAAAAAGCATTGAGGGCTTGACCTGAATGTCAAGGAAGCCTCCATTCTTGTAAATGCCTGTCAGTTATAAAACAATGGGGAGGGGGTGGGTATAGCTCAGTGGCAGATCATCTGCTTAGCATGCGTGAGGTCCTGGGTTCAATCCCCAATACCTCCAAAAAAACCAAACAAACAGACAAACCCATCAGGAACACCGTAGTCAAACCAAGTTGGGTTTACTGACTTGCTGCAAATGAGGGAGACCACACACTATGGGGAGCCATAGAGTATCTGAAAAAGGGATGCTAGAAGTAAGTTATTGGATTTGAGCTCATGTTATGTGGTTTTGTCATTTTCAGTGTACAGGTCGTGAACTTATTTTGTTAAACTTATTTCTAAGAGTGTTTATTCTTTTTGAGGCTATTGCAAATGGAATTGTTTTCTTAATTTCATTTTTGGATTGTTCCTTGCCGGTATATGGAAATACAATTGAATTTGGCGATACTGATCTTGTATCCTGAAGCCTTGCTGGTCTCATTAGCTCTAATGGTTTTGTTGTGGATTCCTTAAGATTATCCATGTGCAAGATCATGTCATTTGCAAATAGAAAGAATTTCAGTTCTGCCTTTCCAATATGAATGCCTTTTATTTCCCTTTCTTGCCCAGTTGCCCTGGCTAGCACAATGTTAAATAGACATGGTCAAATGGTCAAGGGAACAGCCTTGTCTTGTTCCTGGTCCTTGGGGGAAAAGCTTTCAGTCTTTCACCATTAAGTATGATGTTAAGTTCTTTGATACATCCTCTGCTGGGTCTTAGGATGTGTGAAGGGATTGGTAACCCCTTCTCCACCCAGGATGGAAGGGCTCCAACAATCTTCAGAGAAGGTAAGCTTGGTTCTAGTTACCTTTTCTTTTCTTTTTTAAAGAAAACGATTTAATTTTTAAATTTATTTTTGGCTGATTTTTATTTTAGGGTTTTTTTTGGGGGGGTGGTAATTAGATTTATTTATGTATTTATTTATTATTATTATTTTTTATTGAGTTGTAGTCAGTTTACAATGTTGTGTCAATTACCAGTGTAGAGCACAATTTTTGCAGTTATACATGAACATACATATATTACTTGTCATATTCTTTTTCACCATGTGCTACCACAAGATCTTGTATACATTTCCCTGTGCTATACATTAATTAATTAATTAATTAATTAATTAATTAATTTATTATTTTTAATGGCAATACTGGGATTTGAACCCAGGACCTTGTGCATGCTAAGCATGCGCTCTACCACTGAACTATATGCTCCCTACTTGGCTGATTTTTGCACAAGGAAGTTTCAACTTCTCAGCCTTTTCCCCTGCCCAGGACTGCAGACCCTGAGTGGCCTAGATTGATCTGCAATCCCTCTCATTACCACATCCCTCCTTCCCCCAACCCTCTTCCTCCAGGGTCTGTCCATTTGTTACTGGCTGTGCTGGGGATTGGCGCCCAGGTGGCATGAGATTCCACTTGTGTAGAACTTTATTGGGTAAAGATTAGTTTCTTTTTTTTTTTGGTGGGGGTGGGAGATGAAGATTAGTTTCTTGTGGGAAAAAATGTATGATGTTAGCTGTGGGGTATTTGTCCTTTATCAGGTTGAGGAAGTTCTCTTTTACTTCTAGTTTGTTGCTGATATGTTGATTCATGAATAAAAAAAAATGAAGGGGTGTTGAATTTTGTCATGTGCTTTTCCTGCTTCTATTGAGATGCTCATGTGGTTCTTGTACTTTATTCTATTGTTATGGTCTATTACATTAATTGATTTCAGATATTAAGCAACCTTACATTTCTGGAATAAATCCCACTAGGCCATGGGGTATAATCCTTTTTCTATGTTGTTGGATTTTGTTTGCTAGGATTTTGAAGAGGATTTTTGAGTCAATACTCATAAGGGATATTGGTTTGTGCTTTTCTAGTGTTGTTTTTGGTTTTGTTTTTGGCCTCATAGAATGAGTTGAAAAATGTTCTCTCCTCTTCAATTTTTGGGAAGAGTTTGTGAAGAATTGCTATTAATTCTTCTTTATATGCTTGGTAGACTTCCCCAATGAAACCATCTCAATCTGAGCATCTCTGTGGGAAGTTTTAAAATTATTAATTAATAATTAATTTAAATTATTTTGAATTAACTTCGATAGTATACAGAAAATTTGCTCCAATATAGCTCGGTTCCTTCTCTCCTCCTTTGCCCTATTATCGTCACACAAATGACATCTTTATACAATTGTAAGTCCACCAAAAGTTTTATAATTATTGCTTTATGCAGTTCTCTTCTAAATCAGATAACAGAAGAAAAGAATTACAAAATACATATTTATACAGTCTTTTGTATTTCCCCCTGTAGTTACCCTAGCCAGTGTTTTAACTTTTTCATGTGGATTTTTTGTCTTGTTTTTTGGTGGGGAGGTAGTTAGGTTTATTTATTTATTTAGTGGAGGTACTGGGGGTTGAACCCTTGTGCATGCCAAGCACACACTCTACCACTGAGCTATACCCTTCCTCTCTTCACGTGGATTTGAGTTATCATCTGGTGTCCTTTCAATTCCACTTGAAGTACTTTCTTTAGTATTTCTTGTGGGTCAAGTCTGTTTAGTGATGTTTTTGTTTACTAAACAAAATGTCTTTACTTCTCCCTCACTTAAAAATTTTAAAAATTGCTTGTGGTAAAATACACATAACATAAATTTTCTCCTTCTTTTTTTTTTTTTCTCTTCGAAGTTGCTGAGTATTTATTTAGTCCCGAGAGCAGTGTGGAATCAGACTGGAGACAGGAGTGAGTGGTCCTGTGTAGGTAAAGGGGCATTGGGAGCCAATGGAACAGTAGGCTGGGGTCACTGATTGTCAAAGCAGAGGGTGGGACCCTGGAGTTGGGGGAGGCCAGGTTGCACCCCTCCCCCAGGAGTCCCTGGGGCTTCTACCTGGTGGGGGAGTTGGAAAGTTATCATGATTGACATAATAGAGGGGGAGGGGAGACAGGAGTGGGTGGGTGGGGGTGTTAGAGTTCAAAGAAAGCTTAAAAGAGGGCATGGGTGTGGCTTTGGCCAGGAGTCCGGGGTCAGGGGCTTGAGGTGAAGGATCAGGGTGCTGGCTGTGACCTCACTTGGTCAGGGGGCTGCAGGGAATGCCATTGGGTAATGGGCCACCAGGGGTTGGCCAGTGTGTGTGCCCAGTGCCAGAGGCCAGCCCCACTGGCTGCCACTCCTATGGCCACCCTCCCAATGGCCACATTCTTGCCCAGCTTTTTGTAGTTCAGCAGAGTCAGCTCCACCTGGACCTTCTGGACATGGTCACAAGGCACCTCAAAGCTGAAGGTCTCAGTGTAATAGGAGTTCAGAATCTTCTTCTCCTCCTCCACCTCCTCCTCCTCCTTCTTCACTTTTTCTACAAAAAGTGTAAAGGTTTTTTTTTTTAACTGTGTAACATAGGCAGAATTATTTAAGTCAATAAATTTTTTAAGAATTTCACATGTTCTGATTCCTTCCACTGCCCATCACCTTGGTTCCTCCAATGTTTGAGTCATAATCTTCTAGATAGGCCTTTCAAAAAAGAATTTTTGCTCAATCAACAGTTGTCATGTCAGTCAGACCATAATTCTTTTAGTTGGGCTTCCTTGATCCCCAGTGGAACATGGACACACTTCAAAAACTCAGCACCTGTAATCTTTGGGATCCAGTTTCCTCAAGCAGTTTACTTTAGGGCTATATTTGGGGTCAGAAAAGATGGATCTGCCTGGTTCTGAATTTTAAACACCCTCTAAACATGCATTAGCGGGGAGTGTATAGCTCAGTGGTAGAGTGCATGCCTAGCATGCATGAGGTACTGGGTTCGATCCCCAGTGCCTCCATCAAAAATAAATAAATAAATAAAACTGATTACCTCCTTCCACCAGAAAATAAAAATAAATAAAAAATAAACATGCATTGAGTTCAAATAGTATTTACTCCTAAGCTTATCACACCCTGGAAGAGTACTGATCGTTGGGATATGCCAATACCTTTTTCAAAGTCCAGATACTGTATTCAAGATAAAAGCCATCTTTGTGTCATGTGAACATTAAAATTAGAGTATTAGATCAACATAGCTGATGATTTCTCATATCTTATGCTTTTAAATTACCAATTCTATAGTCCTAGGAGAGCAATCTTTATGTTTATCAGCACCCCATCACTTGAATCTGTTTTAGGTATCACATTCCTTCTTATATGTATCAAAACTCATACTGAACAATGAATTCTGGAGTTGCAAAAGGGGATTTATTTTTGCACCTGTCTACAAGTCTTTGTCCACAGATTAAACAAAAAGCAAACACAAGTGCTACAGAGTGTTCTGCTTGATGATCATTTTCTTCTTCTGCACATTTTCCTGCCCTGCAGCAGGTGGACCTTGACATATGGATCTGACATCCCTCCTACATCCATCTTCTTCAGGTTTTTAGCCTCCAGGATGTTTTTTATTGAAGTAAGTCAGAGATAAATTGGGAGTTCCAGATTTGCAGGTACTAACTACTACATATAAAATAGATAAACAACAAGGTCCTACTGTAGAGCACATGGAACTATATTCAATATTTTGTAGTAACCTATAATGGAAAAGATTATGAAAAGGAATATATGTATGTATATGTATGACTGAAACATTATGCTGTACACCAGAAATTGACACATTGTACAGTGACTATATTTCAATAAAAAATTAATAAACAAACAAAATTTTCTTTCAGATCACTAATTCTGTCTTCAGTGATGCCCAGTCTATGTATTCAGCCCTGTGTCTGCTGACTGCTCTTTTCATAGCAGCCTCTTTGTTTTGTTTTGTTTTGTTTTTTAAGATTCTCCTTTTTTAGAGCAGCTTTAGGTTCACAGCAAAATTGAGAGGAAGATACAGAGACTTTCCAATATCCCTTGCCCCCGCACATGGCCTATTCTTATTTTATGAGTGTATTATCATCAACGTTTAAGAAGTTTTCATACCCCTTTGATTATTTTTGTTTCCTCTCATTTTTTTCCTGTTCCATTTGTTCCTAGTCCTTCTGTTTTGTGTCACTGGTTATTCTTAACTCAATACTTTTCCCATACTTACTGAACCCCTACTGTATTCCAGGCATGGGGATGCAATGGTAAAGAAATCGAAGACTGTCCCTGTGAAACTCACCTTGTAGCTGGGGAGACAGTACATAGAGCAATAAAGGGGAGTGATTAAGTGCTATAGTGAAAAATAAAGCAGACTATAGAGACAGAGAACTTTATGTAGAAACATCAAGGAAGTCATCTATGAAGGGGTGATTGCTGAACAGAGACCAGAATGAAACACGGGAACAAACCACATACATACAAAGTGAACAGCAGGTGCAAAGACCCTGAGGTTGCAAACGTGTTCGACTCGGATATAGAACAGAAAGGAGGCGAGTGCAGGTGCAGAGTGAGTGAGGGGACAGCAGTGGGGTGGGAGGTCAGAGAGGTAAGAAGGTCTAGGTCTCACAGGGCCTTGTGGGCCAGAGGCTTTATGCAGGACCGTGGACTTTATTTTTTATTCTGATGGGAGCCAGGGAGGAGTTCTGAGTATATAAGGGACATTACTTGAGTTAGGATAGGATCCCTCTGGCTGCAATGAGGAAAAGAGACGGTAAGGGGGGCAAGGAAGGAAGCAGGGAGACTAGTTAGGGACCTTCTGACACGGTCCAGATGGCTGCTGGCGGTGGAGGCGGTGAGAAGAGGTTGGGTTATGGATCTGCTTTAAAGGTGGAGCCAACAGTATTTCCTCAGAGACTAGCTGTGGGGATGAGAAGAAGAAAGAAGTCAAGGATGCTTTTGTGGTTTTTGACCTGAGATGCTGGGTGAATGATGGGGGAGACTGAGAGAGGAGTAGAGTTTTTGTTTTTGTTTTTGTGGTGGAAGGGCAGGCCTTGGGGGCAGTCAATCAATAGTTCCATTTTGGGGGGAGTTAACATTGAGATGCCTATTTTTTTGAGGTTTGATTTTTTGAGGGAGTTAATTAGGTCTGTCTCTCTGTCTGTCTATCTATCTACCTATCTGTCTGTCTATCATTTATTTAATGGAGCTACTGGGGATTGAACCCAGGACCTCGTGCATACTAAGCACGTGCTCTACCACTGAGCTATACCCTCTCCCTGAGATGCCTATTAAACACCCAAGTGGAAATGTTGAAGAGGCAGTCGGATTTTGAATCTGCAGAGGCCCGGGCTAGAGATGCGAATTTGGGACTAACAGTAAATAGATGCTATTTAAAGGAATAAGAGTGACAGCTCTGGAGGAGCTCATACTGGCAGTTAAGTGCTCCCGCCTGAAGCAACACAGGCCGCTTCCACTCAGTCGTGGGGAAGTACAATCCCACCATGTTCCATGGTCCTGGAAGGGAGAAAGAAATGAAAATCTGATAATCGTAGTAAACAGCAGGAATGAGCACCACAGAGAGCCAGTGGACTTGCTTTGACTTCCACAAAAGTCCATCTCCATTCCTTGTATGTAGGTGGTGGTTCACTGAGCTCTTTTTTTCCCCATATGGCTTGATTCCATCTGCAATATCTCTCCTGGAGAATGCCTCAGAGTATCTGGTCCCTTGATGACTTTTCTTGAAAAGCACCACTGACGATTTTCTTCTCAGCGTATTTTTTGGGGTTGCTTTAGGGGGATTTGGGGAAGGAAGGGAGGCAGATGTGTGTGTTCATTAAACCATTTTGCTACACTCTCCCAGAAGGCTTCAAAATACAGCAAATCATGGTGGTGGGGGGGTCGTATAGCTCAGTGGTAGAGCAGGTGCTTAGCATGCACGAGGTCCTGGGTTCAATCCCCAGTACCTCCATTTAAAGATAAGTAAATAAATCTAGAAATATACAAGATTGATTTTAAAAAATACAGCAAATCAGAACAAGTCGCTGCTGTGCTTCGGGCTCACTGGCCGTACTTCACTTCTAAGGATGCCCCATGCTGCTTCTTACCTTAGATCCTTTGCTTGTGCAGCTTCCTCTGCCTGAAATGCTTTTCCCTTATACCCAACTCCCTGGGTAACTCTTCCTGGACCTTTAGTTCTCAGCATAGATACCCTTTCTCAGGGGGGATTTTCCCAAGCCCCCTCCTACCATGGGATACTTGACAACTCTGTTTGTCAAGGCTTCATTTGATTGAATACCGCCAGATGACTATCCAGAATGGTGGCTCAAGCCCAGACTCTCACCAACAGTACCTGGAGGTTCATATATCCTCACATGCCTGCCAACACTTTCTGTGATTCAACTTTTTAATTTTTGCTAATATGAAGGATGTAAGGGAATATTGCCCTTTTTAAAACATTTGCACTTCTTTAATCATTAGTAAAATTGAGCATGTTTTCATATGTCTGATAACCTCATGGGTTTCCTTCTCCTTGTGTGATTTGTCTGTTCCTATCCTTTGTCCATTTTTCTTTGGGGTGCCTATCTTTTTCTTGCCAATTTCTCAAAGTCACTTTTATATTCTGGATATTTAACCTCTTGTGAGTTCAGAGGTAGCAAATATATGTTCGCTGTTATATCTGTTAACTTTGTGTGTAGGGTCTTTCATTAAACAGAAATTGTAAACTTTTGTAGGAGGGGAGGTAATTAGGTTTATTTATTTATTTAACGGGGGTAGTGGGGGTTTAACCCAGGACCCCATGCCTGCTAAGCACGTGCTCTACCACTGAGCTATACCCTCCCTCCTTGTAAATGTTGATTATATATTTCAGTTAGCATTCTTCCTTGTGATTTGTGCTTTTGAAGTTTTGTTCAAGGAGCCCCTCCCCATCACTAGGTCACACTGTATTTTTTTTCTGTTAATTTATGGTGTTTCCTTTTACATGACAATCTAACCATCTGGAGTTATTGTTTGTGTATGGTGTGAGGTAGGGCTCTTACTTATTTTCCTCCAGTTTTCCAAACACCTTTCTGGCCTTAGAACACATTCTAATACCTGGTAAGTAAAATCCACCTTCTTTATTTCTTTTTCAGAATTGATTTAGCTATTCACAGACCTTTATTCTTTTATAAAGATATTTATTTATTTATTGAGACATATAATCTACATACCATAAAGTTCATCATTTTAAAGTGTACAATTCAATGGTTTTTAGTATATTCACTAAGTTGGGCAGCCATCACCACTGTCTAACACCAGAATATTTTCATCACCTCAGAAAGAAACTCTGTACCTATTTGCAATCACCCCCCATTCCATTCCCTTCTCCCCTCAGGCCCTGGCAACCACTAATCAACTTTCTAACTCTATGGATTTACCTATTCTGAGCATTTCACATAAATGGAATTATGCAATATGTGGCTTTTTGTGTCTTGCTTTTTTCTTTTTTAATTGAAGTATAGTTGGTTTACAATGTTGTGTTAGCTTCTGGTGTACAGCATAGTGATTCAGTTGTATGTGTGTGTATATATACATATATATATATTCTTTTTCAGATTATTTTCCATTATAAGTTATTATAAGAAATTGAATATAGTTCCCTGTGCTAGACAGTAGGTCCTTGTTTATCAATTTCATGTATAGTAGTGTGTACATGTTAATCCCAAACTCCTAATTTATCCCTCTCTTGCCCCCCTTTCTCCTTTGGTAACCAGAGTTTGTTTTCTATATCTGTGAGTCTATTTCTAGTTTGTAAATAAGTTCATTTGTATCTTTTTTTTAGATCCCACATGTAAATGATCTCATATGATATTTGTCTTTTCTTTTTAAATATACTACAGCTTCTAATTTTTTAATAGTCATTTTACAATGTTGTGTCAAATTCCAGTGTAGAGCACAATTTTTCAGTTATACATGAACATACATATATTCATTGTCACATTTTTTTCTCTGTGAGCTACCACAAGATCTTATATATATTTCCCTGTGCTATACAGTATAATCTTGTTTATTTATTCTACATTTTAAAATCTCAGTTTGTCCCTTCCCACCCCTCTGCCCCCTTGACAACCACAAGTTTGTATTCTATGTCTATGAGTCTGTTTCTGTTTTGTATTTATGTTTTTTTTAGATTCCACGTATGAGTGATTTCATTTGGTATTTTTCTTTCTCTTTCTTGCTTACTTCACTTAGAATGACATTCTCCAGGAACATCCATGTTGCTGCAAATGGCGTTGTGTTGTCGGTTTTTGTGGCTGAATGATATCATATAATATTTGTCTTTGTTTGATTTACTTCACTTAGTGTGATCATCTCTAGGTCCACTGGCTCTTTTCACTTAGAATATTTTCAAGTTTTATTTATGTTGCATCATGTATCAGTATTTAATTTGTTTTATGAATGAGTAATATTCTGTTGTATGAATATACCTCATTTTGTCTATTCATTCATCAGTTGATAGACATTTGAGTTGTTTCTATTTTGGGGCTGCTATGAAAAGTGCTACTTTTAACTTTCATGTATAAGTTTTGTGTGGACTCTTTATATACATTTAAAAATAAGTTTTGTTGATTTTTTTAAATAGTCAGCTGAGATTTAAATTGAGATCGTATTGAAATTATATATTAATTTGGAGATCATTGAAACACTTATAACGTGAAATAGTCTCATCCAAGAGCATAAAACGTGTCTTCATTTATTCATTTATTCAGATCATCTTTTATAACTTTAAATGAAGTTTAATATTTTCTCTATAGAAGAACTTATCATCGCATTTATGCTAGTTTTCTATTGCTGTGTGACAAACTCCTTGGCTTAAAAGAACATACTTACAGCATTATATCACAGTTTCTGTGGGTCAGGAGTCAGGGTTCTTAACTGGGTTCTCTGCTTAGGATCTCACAAAGCCGAAATGAAAGTGTTGACTAAGGCTGTTGCTTGACTGGGGAAGGATCTGTTTCCAAGCTCACTCCGGCTGTCGGCAGAATCCAATTCCTTATGGTCGTAGAACTGAGGATTTCAATTTCTTGCTGGCTCTCAGCTGGAGGCCACCCTCAGCTCCTAAAGACCACCTTCTGTTCCTTGCCACGTGAGGTTTCCCAAAGTGGCCACTTGCTTCATTAAAGCCAGCAGGGGAGTAGGAGTTGCCTCACAAGTTGACCATTTCAACCTCATTTTTAACATAATTATGTATATGTAATTACATATATCTGATCACCTTTGGACATGCACACACTCAGAGGAAGGGGATTACACAAGGATGTGAACACCAAAAGGCAAAGATCATGGAAGCCATCTTAATTGTGTGTCCACTACACCATGCTTGAGTATATAATCTTCAGATCCTTAAGGGGATGTGTATGAGGATTTTCACTGTAAAGTTGTTGTTTGTAATACTGAAGAGATAGAGGCAGTTAGAATCAATAGATTAGATTCCCAGCAACATAAATCAATATTTCTTTTTTTCACTTTTAATTTATGCGATTTTACCATACTTTGCTTTAATTCCAAAATGAAAATATCTTTATTTTTTTTTCATCTGAATAATAGTAATACATATTCATTGAAACTTTGTTTTTCAGACAGCAGAGAAGAGTGTAAAGGAGAAAGTGATAAACCATTAGTTATCTTCCCTGGTCTCCAGAAATAATCACTGACATGCCCTTCCCAACATTTTCTTCCCCTATGGATACACAAATTTTACCAAAATTTTATTTCCTTCCATGTATCGTTTTAAGTGGCTTGAAATCCTTTTGGAACAATATATGAGTAAAATCAATCTATCTATGTATTTATTGAAAAACAAGTAGATATAGGCAGCAAAATAAAGACAGAGACAGGAGGAGGGTTGTAGAGATGAAAGGAGAGAAAGAATCAGGCAGGGAGAGACAGATGGGAGTGGAAGACAGAGCTGTGGGTGCGTAAGTTCGAAAAAGAAACAGAGCTATGGAGAGAGGAAGATACTGGCAGAGACAAGGAGAGGATAGAAATGAACTTTTATTGAGCTCCTACTGAATGTCATTCTTATTAAACCTTCAGAGCCACTCTGGGGGTCAGTTACTATTAATCCCTTTATGCAGCTAAAGGGCTGCGCTTAAGAATGGTGAACTGACCTATGCACAGTCACACCACCTGGATTGAACCCATCATCCTGTAAAGGCCCTGGTCCATAGACCATCCGTAACTGTTTATCCAATAAACAAAGTCATACATCTCCTCCCCGAGGAAGGAGAGGTGGGGACCAGACCCGCATTCCACTCCACTGAGTCAATTTTTTTCTCCTGTCTGCTGTGGAGACAGCAAGGTCTGTTGCCCTGGCAACTGCCCTCCGACTGCCATGGCAACCGCCATCGAAGGCTCCAGCTCTCCACCTTGCCCCTTGGGCATCTCCATGGAGACGGGCGGGATGGAGGGGCTGCAGGAGTTCCAAGGCTGCGCCTGCGTAGAGTGGAGGGAGGGGGTGAGCAGGGTTCCCTGTCGTGCGCAGCCGCAGAGCATCTCAGCTCTGCCCTCTCGCCCAGGCGCTGCGCATTTGCCAGCCAGTCCGCCCGTCCGGAGCCCGGCTCGCTGGGGCAGCATGGCGGGGT